GATGGTGAAGGTGACGCAGGGACTTCGATGGTCAGGATCCGTGAAGTGCAGTGAAGAGGTGACGGTGAGACGACAACCCAAATCCACACGACGACAATGATGAAGACAACGAAGAACGGGAACACCAAGCGGGAACAGGACACAGGAACACCGAACACCAAGGACATCAAGACAACGATCTGACAAGGATGAGGAAACAGCGGTAAGTATAAATAGAGTGTACATATTGCTTGCAGCTGGTGACGTGATGATGATCAGCTGGAGCGGATCAGGAATGCCAATCATTCACGCCCACACACACGTGCATTCACAAAACAACATAAACACGAGACTAGAAGAGACCAGAGAATACGTCTACCGTGACAATATTTGGATCCCCTTTTTTATCGAGGTGTGCAGTGCCTATGACCTCCATGAAATGTCTGTGAAAAGACGTCTGACTGAAGGTGTCCTAAAATATGAAATTTTACATGATGTCCACATGAGTGATTTTAATCAGGTTAACATAAGACATGATTTCAAGACATTTTCCATGTTTACTGTGTACCTCAAGGTCCTCAGGAACAATTCTGCTGTCATCAACAGCTGATTCTCCAATGGTGGTCAACATAGTCTGGATGTTGTTGAAGTGCTTCTCAACATTTTCAGAGCTGCATGGGCTTGAGAAGATGACAGTGCAACTAAGGAGCATTTAATCAAACTCAACAATGGAACTTGCTGTGGTCAAAAGTCCGAAAACATGCATGGCCAGCTTGTAGTTCTTGGGTGCACTAAGAGAGAAATAAAAGTAACAACATTGTCATAACTCATCATGAATAATTTGTTGCCATCAATTTGATTATCTGTTTTATTATATATATATAATAAAGGTTTTACTTTAGGTGGACAATAGGAAGACTGAAGTCTTCAGTGGTGCATTTCCCTGTCAATATTTTATAATAACTTTGGAGCAAGGCATTGAGGTTAGTTTGGCAGAAGACAAGTGAGATTGCTTGCATGAGGACCATGGATCCATCACATATTATCATGAGTGGACTGATGTTTTTGTGTCCATATTGCTTGGCATGGTCTGTCTGGAAAGAACTAAGAAAATACATTACAGATGAGGTGGTGTGATCACAGGTCAAATACGTAGCTACTGGAAAAGGAGAGGAACCCTTATTTGGGTTTCGGACCACCAGCTCGTAAACGTAAAAAGGACCTGTGCTGTGTTTACTTTTCTTCACAATGCTTCCTGTTGCATCAAGATATACTATGTCTTCTTTACATCTTTGGTGGAATATGTCAATGCTTTTCCTCGACCAAAGGATCACACCCTTAGGATGAAGGATCACTTTCTAGATAACCTCATCTGGCTCATCTCTTGTTTCTTCTACCATCATCTGGAGACTGAGTGTTTCATTTTTATGTTTCCTGTCCTTCATTCTTTGTCTCCAGGAAATGGATTTCAGAACACCTGGCGATGGTGCCTACCATCCCAGACACCCAGACTCTACCACAGATTCTTTAAGGTTTTCCATTTTCTTAAGATAGAGTGCCCTTGGTAGTGTAGTTTGCAATTGCTGATTTATTTCCTTTTGGTCATCGGCTCTTACCGGTTGCCTTTGCAGCTCTGTTTTACTGTGAACTACCATGTCACCACTGAACGACACATGTGCTTTAAGCGTGTTCTCAATGTGCACAACAACATCAACTTCTACAGGGCAGTCAGTGAACAGGCAATAGCCAGAGCATTTAAAAGCAGGTGTGTTTCTGGTTGATCCTTGTATTTTAACTCTGTGGCCTGTAAAAGCAAAACTGCAATGTGGATGGATTGTGCGAATGCCTGAAGAGATAATGTTAGTCCACTGCAATCCCTTGAAGTGATATTTTTTTTGTTGTTTTTTTCTTAGTTTTTTCCAGGCAGTTTGAGGAATAAAAAAAAGAAGGTGGTGCAGGAACACTCTCTGTAAAGAATTCATCTTCTTTGTCAGGATTGACTTCATCGTCAGTATCACTCCAACTGTCACTGTCTTCCACCTTGGGATATTTGTTTTGGATCTACAGAAGAATAAACAGTGACAATATATAATTTAAAATCATTTAACGAATTCGTTTGCCCATAAAATCTTTAAGATATTAGGTTAAACTTATTTGGCTTGCTGTCCGCTGGAGAGGGGCTCGATGAAGCAGCTTCAACTCGAGCTCTGATATACGCCCCAGTGGCTAAATGTAGGACCTGTTAATTAAAGGGCAAGGTACCTAAGATGAAGGTGGAGTTTGGGGAGGTGGAGGGATACTGGAACAGCTGATACTAGGGAGAGGTAAGCGGCTGCTTATATACTCTGTTTGTTGATTGAAAGATTGGATGGGCTCGCTCCTCCCTAACTTACGTTTAGGAACTTCATTTCATTTGTGTTTCAACATTTGTGTTAGTTTTCTAGTAGTAAATGTGTATAAGTTTAAATGTAAATAATATAATCTCATCACTTACATCTTCCTCCAGCTGACCTTCTCCCTCCTATGTTCTTTTTCATCTTCCTTTTGAAATGTAGTCATCTCTTGTGTAACTTCTTCCTCCTTTGTGCCTTCAATCTCTGGTACATCTTCCTCTCCATCTTCCTCTTTTTGTGCTGTCTTCACCTCATTTGAGTCCTCTATCTTTACATCCACCAGCACAAACTCTTTATTTTTTTCAGATTCTTTCTTTCCCTCTTCTGCTTTTAAGTCTTCCTTATCTTGTATGATGTCTTTCTCTTTAATACGTTATTTTTCATCTTTCTTTTGAAAATCACTCATGTCTTCTTCCACTTGTGCAACTTCAATCTCTAGGGCATCTTCCTTTACATCTTTGTCCGTTTTAACATTTTTCACATTTTCATTTTTGTATGCCCTTTTTAGTTGATATCTATTTGGGGATGTATTTGGTACACCCAAATATTTGCAGAGTTCTGCCCATAATTTGTGGTCTTGCAGAAGACATTCCCCCGTTTTTTTGCTCAGATAATGACTCCTGAAGCTCTTGAATTTGTTTGAAAATATCTTCAAAAGATATGTATCGGTTTCTGGACTGTAAAAGCAAATTTCTTTGTTTTTTACACATACTGTCAATAACATAGCAGAAATAAAATTTTAAGCTTACAAATTAATATAGGCCTAATGCTAAAAATGCTGAATTACTTCCATTTAACTTAAAACATTATACTATAGTTCTTACCTTTCCAAATGTTTTGAAGACAATTCTGTATATAAAATTGAAATAAAACACACAATTAATGTTTTTCTTTACTTGAGAATTGAGTATTTTTTTACATTTTAAAATATTATTCTATAATGTGGTTTTGTTGGGGAGCTATTTAATATAGTGCTTGTTACATCTGGTTACAGTAGGCTATTCTGTACGTTCTCACACCAGTAGGCTCAGGAATATGGAATTATTTTTGTGCCGATAAAAATGAACGTAACTTTTCAAGAAATCAATGAAAATATAAATTGAAACTGAATAAAATATCTTTGAAACTGAAAAAGAATGAATCGCAGGCAATTTTTTATTACTTTGTTTTTAATACACTGCATGTTTTGCTAACTATTCCTCATATGTATTTTACTGATCTAAACTTACAAATGCGCTTCAAGAGTTTTCATTTACGCTTCTGAAGTTTTCGTTTACGCTCCCTGAGTTTTCGTTCGCTGTTCCGACACAAATCTCTCGTGGGGGCGGGGCTAGTAGCAGTGTGTTCTCATTGGTTACTGAGTTTTTGATTGACAGCTTTCTTGACCTGGAAGTGAAGACGTCAGTGTTGTGTTTACATGTGTGGATCTATTTTTTTACAGTCTATGGTGTGGATGTGAGCGGCTGTAAGCGCAGCTTTCTATTTCATTTAGGTGATATTAAGTTTATATCTGTATTTATATACTGCTACACTATATTGTTGAGATGATTTCTTATAGATGTTATTCGATCTGCGTCATCAATGTTTGCGGCGGCCATATTGTTGACATAGAAACCACGGCAACTGTCAGTCTGTCAATTGACAAGCGAGGCAGCGTCGGTATTATCCATGGTATTATCACTGTATTATTTTTTTAAACAGTGTGATGGTGTGTTGTGTAATACACGGCTGTTCTAACAACTGCAATAAGAACCCCGGAGTTAGTTTTTATGCGATAAGTTACCGACTGTCAGAAAACGTGAAGGGAAGGAGACAGAGTTGAGCCAGCGCAGGAGAGGCTAGCTAGGATAAATAGGCTAAACTTTCAGCCAACTCCCCATAGAAAAGTCTGTTCCCATCATTTTACCACAGGTTTCACACATAATCCGTGTGCAATGCATGTGTGGTGCGAATACTGTCACAGAAGCAGGACGCGCAATACTTTATAATATATGCTGCGTTTGCAGTGCGTAACTGATCCGCGGCTGTACCACAAACACCCCGGTACTTACTATTTTTATTTTAACACATACTCACTATTTCAACAACGTAAGCCAATTATTCCAAGCATTACTTCTATATATTAAGTTGCTCAAGCAAGTGGTCAAATATGTAACCATGTACTTATATTAAAATCGCAAACATTTTAAATGAAAACTTAAAATGGACAAAAACAACCGACTCTCATGCCTTTTCTTTTCCATTTACATTTTAATACAACAAATCTTGCATGTCACAAAGAACTTGTTTTTCCACCTCCACGAATGAGACGAGTGTCGTTCATTATGTTGCCTTGTTGAGGTAAATTGTAGTTTGTATACGGATACTGTATTAGATAGTCATAAATATCCGGATAAGTTACGGCTGGCAATAAGGACGGATCTTTACTTAAGCTTGATTGGTGTGGACCCACATCAAATTATAGCATTATCTTCTCTTGATACCGACGAGATGAAGCCAGGCTACTGCTCCCCTCAACTCAAATCTGCGCGCGGTTAGGGGCAGCAGGACAGATGTCATGTCAACAATATGGCCGCGGTTAGCTACTTCCGGTGTTTGCGAATAAGGTCTATAGAAGGAATAGTACAGACAAATGATATAATTTGTCATGGTCGATATCAGAATACTGGATAGCCTACTCGTGGTAAGTCAGATTTTTTTTTTTTTTTTTTTATTAATTAATACTAAACTAATACTATTTATAATATAGTACTTGCTTTTTCAGGTGGAGAGGCATATTAGAGCTCAGTGAGAGCCCATAACATTATACAGCAGTGTCGTCTTGATTTAATTGGTAAGTTAGCCCAATCATTACATTACTTGTTTATCTAACGTTACATACGGTTACATTACAGTCTTCGATTAGATCATATTTCCCCCCTGCCACCCCAAACAACATTGGGCTAGAGTACTGTACAGTATCTGTACTGTAGCCTACAGTACAAAAAGTACTGTATCAGACAATGACCGATGCCATTGGACCAGAGTGCTGTCAATCACTGCCCGATTCAACTTTGGCAATGTAAAGCCAATTGCTGATTAATTTGCGATGCAGAGTTTTTAAAAGAGGAGAGACAGGACTTGACCGACATTCCACGTCTCTATTCATAATATGTAAACACTCAATTATTTTGAAGTATCACCCTGGGCGCAATATTTATTCTGCAAAATGCAACAAAATGCCTTTTCTGTGTCCATATTTGAGCAATAATAATGCAAAAAAAAAAAAAACATTTCGGAGAAAAATGTTGAATTTTTAATAGTCTTTAATAATAAATATATGTCCAAATGCAAAACCTAATACATGCAAGTAATTATGACTGAAAACATCCAGCAACTAGGGAATACACAGCCATGGATAAATGTTTATAGGGCTATACAGCCATCTACTGGTTACACAACAGTATTACAGATGATAAATGGTGCATGACTCGGAGGTAAATATTTAGTACTGTAAAATCCCTTAAAACATTTATATAATTTGTTTGAAATAATTATTTTAAATCTGCAACTTGTTACTGCATGTGGGAGTTTAAAGCAGTTTGTATTGTTAGATTATAATACATTTTCTTTCTCATTTTCCAGGGAGTTGAGCAACTTTTCCATAAACAAAATTCTGATGCTGACACAGAGGATGGAGTGATAATACCAGAGATCAACTGTCTCCATCAGACAATAATGTTACTTTGTTCAGACATATCACCTTTGAATGACTGGGATCCTGATCTTCAGACACCTGATGTATTTTATTTTAATATTATAAAATAGCAAATATTTTAATTTCTTTGGAGCTCTAGATTAAAACAAACACAGTTTACAAGTACACAAGAGGTTGCAGTTTATTCTTATTAGTCTATGCTGATCATGGATTAGCATACCAACAGCATATGAATGGGATAGTTCACCCAAAAATAAAATTCTCACTTATTTTACTCACCCTCATGCTGTCCCAGATGCATTTTACTTTCTTTCTACAGATAAATACGAATTAAGATTTTAAGGAAAGTAATCCATCTCTGCGAGTCCTAAAGATGCTTTAAAAACCACACACAGTGACCGTGATGTCCATGCGACCTCAGTGGATGAATCAATGCCTTCTGAAGTGAAACAATAGGATAAGAAAAATACTAATAATATAAACTGTTTTAACTATTAAAAATCACTTCCGACCAACTGTCATACATGGGTTACAATCCACTTGTCTTATATGGACTCACAGAGATGGATTATTTCCTTAAAAATCTTTGTAATTATGCATTTTGTATGTATATTATGAGAATACTGTGCATTACATGTATAGTATGCAGTTAATGTTTTGTGGCTTCTGGTCTTTCCTGTCACAACATAATCGCATCCAAGACTTTCACTTTGATACTTGTGTATATGCTGTAGTGACAATAAAGAATGTACATTTATTTGATTTTTTTTATTTAAATTAATTTAACTGATTTTATAAGTCATAATTGAACCTGTTGATGATTGTTCAAATATATTTACAATTTTAAATGTTAGAAGATAATATTAACTAAATGAAATAAATAAAATTATCAGCATGATTAAAAAAATGGCAACAAAAATATTCTTTGTGTGAAATATGTAATGAAATGCCCTTTGAGGTCTGTATCATCTGACAGCAAGCCACGATTGTAATTTTCATGGTTTAAATTCCTCTTATTTAAGTGATCATACATTTTGATGGTGCAAATGCATATGGTAACAATGAGAAAATTTGATGGCCATGGTTGCCAACCTTGATTACCTGGTTGAAGTGAAACTTTCTTGACGGCTGAATATATCACACACGTATACTAGTAGGCTATTCTCTTTAAATTGTAATAGCACAACCTAATCAGAGCCTAACATGCAAAAGAATCTTCAGGAATAAACAAATATTCTCCTAAAACATTGGACACAATATTTTAAGTAGGCATATACAGTAGGTCTACTTTGATGTACAATTACCTGTACACCTGAATAGACTGAAGAGATCTCTTGCGCTCCTAAAAGTTTCTGTTGACAAAGTAGTAGCAGCAGCAGGTAAATACAGATAAAATTCAAAAACAAACATAACTTAATATCACTAAAATTAAATAGAAAGCTGCGCTTACAGACGCTCACATCCACACAAGTAAACGCAACACTGACGTCTTCACTTCCAGGTCAAGAAGCTGTCAATCGAAAACTCAGTAGCCAATGAGAACACACTGCTACTAGCCCCGCCCCCACGAGAGATTTGTGTCGGAACAGCGAACAAAAACTCAGGGAGCGTGAACGAAAACTTCAGAAGCAAACGAAAACTTCAGAAGCGTAAATGAAAAGTCCCGGGTTACGTATGTAACCCTAGTTCCCCGAAGGGACGGACGCTGCGTGTAATCGCAGTGGGTACGCCCCCCAGCGTAACGCGTCTGAAGCATGAATGAAATCAGTCAATGGAGAGATGAGCTTACAGCGAGTGACGTCACCGACCAGGGAGCTATAAATATCCCCTGAATACACAAGCCACCAGCTTCTAATGTTACTGAAGCAAGCGATCCACGGGGATGCCGGGAGTATGGCAGGACATGCAGCGTCCGTCCCTTCGGGGAACTAGGGTTACATACGTAACCCGGGACGTTCCCCTTCAGGGACTACCGCTGCGTGTAATCGCAGTGGGAACGCAATACCCACATCCCCATACGACCAAATCCCCGTCGTGTGTCATTAGGAGACACAAGCCGACGAGAGAACCTGAGCCCCGGGAGTGGAGCTAAGGTCAAGGGAATAAAATCTGACGAAAGTGTGCGGTGAGGACCAGCCTGCCGCATCACAAACGTCCTGAAGAGAAGCTCCTGAAAGAAGAGCTGTAGAGGCAGCCATACTCCTGGTGGAATGAGCCCTTACAGTCAAAGGTGAAGGCTGATGGGCCGAACCGTAAGCAAGCGAGATGGCCTCGACCACCCACTTGCTCATCCTTTGCTTAGATGCCGGACACCCCTTCTTAGGTGACCCAAAACAGACAAACAATTGCTCTGATTTCCTCCACAGGGCAGCTCTGTGGACATACGCATCTAAAGCCCTAACGGGACACAGCAAATTAAGTTTCTCCTGGTCTGACGTCAGAAAAGGCGGAGGACAGAAAGCCTGCAGTACTATAGGTCTAACCGAAGTGGTTGGTACCTTAGGAACATACCCTGGTCGCGGACAGAGAAAAGCCTTTACCATACCAGGAGCAAATTCCAGGCACGAGGGAGCCACCGAAAGTGCTTGAATATCTCCAATTCTTTTTAGAGACGAGATAGCGAGAAGAAGGACAGTCTTAAGAGTAAGGAACTTTTCCGAAACTTCCTCGATGGGCTCGAAAGGAGCTAGGGAGAGACCTTCTAAGACGATGGCCAGATCCCAAGCTGGTACCCTCGTGCGAACTGCAGGCCTCAGCCTCAAGGCGCCACGAAGGAAGCGAGATATAAATGGGTGTCTCCCGAGAGAACCTCCGCTCGAAGGGGCGTGGTAAGCAGCTAAGGCCGCCACGTACACCTTCAGTGTGGAGTGGGATACCCCGTGGAGAGACGGTCCTGCAGGAAATCCAGCACTGTACCAACCGGGCAGTTAACTGGGTCCTGCTGGCGCTCTCCACACCAAGAGGTGAAAAGTTTCCACCTCGCGGCATATAACTTCCTCGTGGCGGGAGCTCTGGATTGGAGGATGGTCTCAACGACCTCAGTCGAGAGACCAGAATCTATGAGCTGGGCCCCCTCAGAGGCCAAGCCCACAGCCTCCATAGTTCTGGGCGGGGGTGAAGGATCGACCCACTCGCCTGAGAGAGTAGATCTCTCCTGATCGGTATCTCCAGGGGAGAGCCGTCGAGGAGAGACACTAGGTCCGCAAACCATACTCGGGCCGGCCAGAACGGGGCTATTAGCAGAAGACTGAGCCCGTCCCGGCGAACCCTCTCCAGAACTCCCGGGAGCAGAGCGATCGGGGGAAAAGCGTACAGACGTGACCTCGGCCACGGATGTACCATCGCGTCCAACCCCAGCGGGGCTGGCAGGCTGAGAGAGAACCACAGTGGACAATGTGATGTCTCTCTGGAAGCAAATAGGTCTACCTCGGCACGACCGAAATGTTCCCATAGGAGCTCCACCACCTCGGGGTGAAGACTCCATTCCCCGGGCCTCGGCCCCTGCCTTGACAGGATGTCTGCCCCCTGATTTAAGTACCCTGGGAGATAAATAGCTCTCTAAGAAAGAATTCTCCCCTGGGACCATAGGAGAATCTGACGTGCCAGTTTGTAAAGTGGGCGAGAACGCAGACCCCCCTGATGGTTGATATAAGAGACCACCGATGTGTTGTCTGTTCGGACAAGAACATGGTGGCCCCTTAGGTCTGGGAGGAAGTGTTTCAGAGCCTGAAACACTGCCAACATCTCTAGACAATTTATGTGCCATAGACGGTGATGGTCCTCCCACAGACCCTGAGCTGGGCGACCACTCATGATCGCCCCCCACCCCGTGAGAGAGGCATCTGTCGTTAGCATAACGCGACGACAAGGAGCTCCCAACACAGGGCCTTGGGACAGAAACCGAGGATCTCTCCACATAACCAGGGCGCGATGACACCGTCGTGAACTCATGATCATGCAAAGCGGATTTCCCCTCGGGGAGAATCCCCTGGTTCTGAGCCACCACTGTAACGGTCTCATGTGCAGGAGGCCAAAAGGTACCACGTTGGACGCAGCTGCCATGAGACCTAACAGTCTCTGGAACTGTTTTACAGTGGATGACTGGCCTAGCTTGACCTGATCTACTGCGGCGAGAATCGAAGCAACACGAGCAGGTGACAACTGTGCCTGCATCGTCGTCGAATCCCACACTACACCGAGAAAAGTGTTTCTCTGTAATGGAGAAAGAACACTCTTCTCGGCGTTGAGCCTCAACCCCAACCTCTTGATGTGAGCAAGAACGACATCTCGATGCCGAACCGCCTGTTGTTCTGATTGAGCTAGAATTAACCAATCGTCTATATAGTTCAGAATACGGATGCCCTGCAGCCTCAGCGGGGCTATAGCTGCATCCATACACTTCATGAACGTGCGGGGTGACAGCGCTAGGCCAAATAGAAGAACCCGATATTGGTACGCTTCGCCCCCAAAAGCGAACCTCAGGAACTTCCTGTGTTGAGGGAGGATGGATACATGGAAGTAAGCGTCCTTTAGATCTATCGTGACAAACCAGTCCTCGGATCTGATTTGTGACACGATCTGCTTGAGAGTGAGCATCTTGAATTTGAGCTTCCCTACAGTGTGATTTAAGAGACGCAGATCTAGAATGGGACGCAGCCCTCCATCTTTTTTCGGAACGATGAAGTACCGGCTGTAGTATCCTAACTCCCTGCTGGGTGGAGGAACCCGTTCTATAGCCCCTTTTTGCAGCAGAGTTTTTACCTCCTGTTCTAATACCAGAGCCTGCTCGGGGCCCACCACCGTGGGCAGAACCCCTCTGAACCGAGGTGGACGCGTTCTGAACTAAACATCTTTATAATATTCAGGACCCACTGAGAAACATTGGGAAGCATTTCCCATTCCGCCAGGAACTCTACTAAGGGAACCAGCCTCTCGAGGCTGGCCTCTGGATGAACATCCCGAGTGACAGACACAGCGCCCTGTAACATACTGGCAGGAAATAGCTGGTCTGAGCACTCCACAACCCTCCTCGGAGGGGGCGTGCGTCCCTCGGGAAATCGCTCGCCGAGTCTCTCTACGCCCTGTATAGGCAGGGTTAGTAGCACAGACCCCTGAGGGCATCGAGAAAGACAGGGCGCCGTGTTTTTGAGCGGCGAACTCAAGTCTCTCCCGATGGGGACCACCCTCAGAGTCCTGACGTTCAGCCCGTCAGGACTTTTTCGACGCGGCCTTCCTGGCGACAATGACTGTCCTCAGATCAGTCCTGCCCCGAGAAGGACGCGCCGGAGAGCGCCCCGCCTCGTCCCTACAGTTTATCTGCGGGGGGGCACGAGACGCGACACTCCGCTTCTGCTGTGCTCTTTTAGACGACGAACTCGACGGCTGGGACTGCCCTCGCTCAGCAGCCCCAGTGACGCGCACTTTGAGAGGGATAAACTTATGAAAACCAGCCGCCTATTTTTTCTCT